ACCTACATGTGGTCCTTGATTTACTACCACAATTGAGGCCAAAACCTCTGTTGGAAATCAAATGGTGAGCTAGGTGCAAATGACCAGAGCCTTACCTGTGGTTCCCTAAAACATCTGGCAGGGACCAGCCAGAAACAGATCCAGAATAAATAGCGCAGCTTGATTTAATCAATAAACCCAGCACACGAAAGTTAAGACACTGTATATTTAGGGCAGGATGTGATGGCTCAGATGCTGAGCTTGTCAGTCAGAAAGGTCGGCAGTTCAAATCCCTAGCGCTGCATAACGGAGTGAGCTCCTGTTACTTGTCCCAGCTTCTGCCAACCGAACAGTTCAAACGCATGTAAAAAATGCAAGTAGAAGAAATAGGAACCACCTTTGGTGGGGACAGCGTTCCAAGCGCCTTCGGGCGTTGAGTCATGCAGGCCACATGACCACGGAGACATCTTTGGACAGAGCTGGCTCTTCTGCTTTGAAACGGAGATGAGCACCGCCCCCTAGAGTCAGGAACGACTAGCACATACGCTATGTGCGAGGGGAACCTTTACCTTATTTATGGCGGACAAATTGTCATGCTTACAACCCCCAAAAGGTGCTGAAGTCAGAACTGAAGAAGCTTCTGCTCATTCCCATCCAGCAAAGTCTTTCAAGGGAGGATTTACAGTCACAGACCTTATCTGGCTTGGAGAGCTGCCAGGCCGATATCTGCAGAACTTTTGGCAAGCGAAGAGAAGCGAAATGTTTTCAAAGAAAAAAAAAAACCCCCAAGAAAAGCCCAGTTGCCTTTTTGAAAAAGCACCTTTGGGGACAATCCTGGAAGGTTGAGAATTTCCATGGACATCATGATTGTAAGAGGATACTTTCAACAGGAGGTCTATCTGAGGAAGAATGAGAGGGGAAATCCTGGGCTTTCATATTTGAAGCGTGAACCTTGAGACATCCGGTTGGTCACTGCTAAAACAGCCAGTCCGCTCCTATAGCTGGCTACTCTCCTTTTTCTGCGTTCTCCTCAAGCTCAAATGCTTGGGAGCAAGTCCTCCTAAACTCAATGCAATACACTTCCAAATCTAAGCTCTTCTGACTGAGGCTTCCCAAGAGCAGGAAGCAAACTCTTTGTCCCGACAAAAACCCCTTTTATGAATTGACTGTGAATTCTGCTCATTCCCATCCAGGAAAGTCTTTGGTGGGAGGATTTACAGTCACAGACCTTATCTGGCTTGGAGAGCTGCCAGGCCGATATCTGCAGAACTTTTGGCAAGGAGTCGCGGAGAATCAT